TTGGATTCTCTGTGCTTCCTGGAAGTCTATGTCCTTTGCCAGATTGGGAAAAATATTGCTCTGTGAAGGTTTCTTCATTATTTGTTCAAATAAGTTTCCAATTCCTTGCTCTTCCTCTTCTTTTTCTGGCCTCCCCAGAAAGATGCTGGAACATTTGAAGATTCCCTAAGATTCAGATGCTGAAATGTTTGAAGTTGTCCTAAACGTTCCTAAGCCTCTCTTCATTTTGTTGAACACTTGTTCCTTCATTGTGTTCCACTTGAATGTTTACTTCTTCATTCTGGTCCAAACCATTCATTTGAGGCTTCCTTCCATTCACTGTTGATCCCCTGAACATTTTTCTTTATTTCACTTTTCATAGCCTTCATTTTTTTCCTCTATTTTATCATGTGACCATGTAATCAACCATTTCTGTGACCATCCATTTCTGTGATCAACCATTTCTGGGATTACATTTTATCATGTGATCATGTGACCATGATCAACCATTTCTGTGAGCATCCTGACTACCAGTGTTTGGAATTCTGCATTTGATAGATTATGTATCTCTTTATTACTTAACTGTATTTTTCCTGGAGCTTTAATCTGTTCTTTCATTTGGGCCATATTTTTTTGTCTCAGTGAGTCTGTTATGTAGTGAGGAGCAGAGCCTTAGATATTTGCTAGGGAGGGAAAACCTGAGTCCCAACAAATTTGGTGCTGTATGTCAGGGAAGGGTTCAAGAGGGAACAATGCCACTTGCTCAGCTCTCAGTTGGCTTTCAGTCACTTCCGCTGCTACCCACAAGCAAATTGTGCGTTTCTGTTGCTTATTCCTGCTTGGGCGGGTTTGTGTACATCCTAGGACCCTGTGGGTCTCTCCAATGAACTCTCCCATGAGGCTGGGAGATTCTCCTACCTCAAATACCACAGGTTCTTTCAGTCAGAAGTTTCAAGGCTTTCTTTTCCTGCACTGGAACCCTGTGTTGTATGGTCTGTCTCATTCCCCATTTGTTTCTTCCCAATTTTTCAGAATGCAAATGTGGGACCATCTGGTCTGTCAGCCAATGCTTTACCTAGTCCTCCAGCTGCCACCTTGCCCCAAGTCCTCTCCACCCCAGCAGCCAGTCTCCACCCCTCCTACAGGTCTGGATGAATGTTTCTTCTTTAACTCCCCTGGTCGTCAGACTTCCATACAGTTCAATTTTCTGGCAGTTCTGGTTATTTTTTGTTTTTAAATTGGTTGTTGTCATTCTTTTGGTTGTGCAAGGAGGCAGAGTGTATCTACCTATGCCATCATCTTGGCCGGAAATCTTACTGTGGTTTTAATTTGAATCTCTGATGGCTAGTGATGTTGAGCATGTTTTCATATAGACATGGTCCATTCATATGGTCACCTGGGAGAAGTGTCTGTTCACATCCTTTGTCCATTTTTTAACTGGATTGTTTGTTTTTCTGGTGTTGAGTCATATTGTGGACATCTTTACATACTGTGGACATCAAATCCTTGTCCAATATGTCATTGGCACATATGTTCTCCCATATAGTCAGTTCTCTTTTCATTTTGATAATGTATTTTTTAACTGTGCAAAAGCTTTTTAGTTTGATGTGGTCCCATTTGTTTATTTTTTCTTTTATTCCCCTTGCCCTAGGAGATATATTGGCAAGAATACTGTTCTGTGGGATATCTGATATTTTACTGCCTCTTTTTCTCTAAGCCTTTTATAATGTCATGGCTTATATTTAAATATTTTATCCATTTTGAGTTTATTCTGGTGTACAATGTAATTTGGTGGTCTAGTTTCTTTTTTTTTCCATGTACAGTCCCATACTTCCAACACCATTTATTGAAGAGGCTATTTTTACTCCATTGTATGCTCATGCCCCCTTTTCAAATATTAATTAACCATAAAGACATTGGTTTATTTCTGGGATCTCTATTTTGTTCCACTGATCTATGTGTCTATTCTTTTTTAAAATATATTTTATTATTTATTATTTAATATATTTATTATGCCATTACAGTTGTCCCATTTCCCCTCTTCATTCTCTCCACCCTGCACACCCCTCCCCCCACATTCCCTCCCTTTAGTTCATGTCCATGTGTCATAAGTTCTTTAACTTCTACACTTCCCACACTATTCTTGCCCTCCTCCTATTTTCTCCCCACCATCTATACTACCTATTCTCTGTACCTTATTCCTCGCCTCCTCCTCCCACTCTCCTGTTGCTAACCTTCCATGTGATCTCCATTTCTGTGGCTCTGCTCCTGATCTAGCTGTCCGCTTAGTTTGCTTTTATTTTAGGTGTGGTTGTTAATAACTGTAAGTTTGCTGTCCATTCACTGTTCATATTTTTTATCTTCTTTTTCTTAGATAAGTCCCTTTAACATTTCATATAGTAAGAGCTTGGTGATGATGAACTCTTTGAAATTGACTTTATCTGAGAAGCACTTGATCTGCCCTTCCATTCTAAATGAAAGCTTTGCTGGATAGAGCAATCTTGGATGTAGATCCTTGTCTTAATGACTTGGAATATTTCTTTCCAGCCCCTTCTTGTCTCTTTTGAGAAATTAGCTGACAGTCTGATGGGCACTCCTTTGTAGGTGATTGTCTCCTTATCTCTTGCTGCTTCTAGAATTCTCTCCTTTATTTTACTCTTAGCTAATTAATTATGATGTGCCTTGGTGTGTTCCTACTTGGGCCCACCTTCCTTGGGACTCTCTGAGCTTCCTGGACTTCCTAGAAGTCTATTTCCTTTGCCAGATTGGAGTTCTCCTTTATTATTTGTTCAAATAACTTTTCACTTGTTGCTCTTTCTCTTCCCTTTTTGGTAACCCTATAATTCAGATGTTGGAATGTTTAAAGATGTCCTGGAGGTTCCTAAGCCTCTCCTCATTTTTTTGAATTCTTGTTTCTTCATTGTTTTCTGTTTGGTTGTTTCTTTCTTCCTTCTGGTCCACTCCATTGATTTGAGTCCCAGTTCCTTTCCATCACTATTGGTTCTCTGTGCATTTTGCTTCATTTCACTTACTGTAGTCTTCATTTTTTCATCTAATTTGTGGCCAAAATCAACCAGTTCTGTGAGCATCCTGATTACCAGTGTTTTGAACTGTGCATCTGATGGGGCAGCTATCTCTTGGTAATTTAGTTGTATTATTTCTGGAGCTTTGATCTATTCTTCTGTTTATACCTTTTTTTTTTTGTCTTGTCCCACCTGTTAGGTAGTAAGGGGCAGAGCCTTAGGTGTTCACCAGGGTAGGGCAACCCAGTAACTGGGTTGTGATGCTGTATGTGGGGGCAGGGTCAGAGAGGGAACAATGGTGCTTTTTTTGCTCTCTCTCTCAGATTTCAGTCCCCTCTGTTGCTTCCCACAAACCGGCACCTTTTCAATCAGTGCTTTTAGGCTTTATTTCCTGTCACTGCCACTTCCCACAAGCAAATTGGGCCTTTCTGGTGCTTGTTCCCAGGTGTGTGGGCTTGTGTACATTCTAGGACCCTGTGGGTCTGTCCAACAAACTCTCCTGTGAGGCTGGGAGTCTCTCCCGGTACATCAACCCCCAAAAGTTTTTCCAATCAGTGCTTTTCTCATCACTGAGGCCCTAGGTTGAACTGTCTGTCTCACTGCCCATTTTTTGCCTGGTGTATCTGTGCACGAATGTGTGTCCACAGTCAGCCAACCACCTTGTGCGTCTCACTGGGTTTGCTGGTTTCCTTCACACACCCGGGTTGTCTACAACCACCTTTTTCTGCCAGGACCCCTCTGCCGGCTGCCAACTCTGCCCCTCTTACCGGTCTGGATGAATGGTTCATTGTTGTTGGACTTGGGTACAGCCCAATCTTCTGTCTGTTCTGGTTGTGGTTTTGTTTCTAAATCTTTGTTGTCCTTAAATTCGACTGTGTGAGAAAGGTACAGTATTTCCACCTATGCCTCCATTTTGGCCAGCAGTCCTATGCGTCTGTTCTTATTCCAGTACCAGACTGTTCTGATTACAGTGGCCTTAGATTATAGTTTTATATCAAGTATTGTGATTCCTCCTACTTTGTTTTTCTTTATGAAGATTGCTGAGGCATCATGTGTCTTCTTTGGTTTCATATAAATTTTTGAAATATTTGTCCTAGATCTGTGAAATATGGTCTTGGTATTTTAATAAGAATTATACTGAATCTATAGATTACTTTGGGTAGTTTGGACATTTTAATGACATCAATTCTTCCAATCCATGAACATGGTATATGCTTCCATTTATTTGTATCTTTGTTAATTTCTTTCTTCAGTGTTCTATAGTTTTCTGAGTATAGGTCATTTACCTCCCTGGTTAAATTTATTCCTACGTATTTTTTTTCTCTTGCTAAAGTAAATGGGTTTTTTTTCCCCTAGTTTCTCTTTCTGCTCAGAGATGGGGCATGACTGTGACATCTCCCTGCCCACTTCACAGGCCTGCAGTGGGGCCACAGAGGAAGTCCTTGGTGGACTAACCAGCTATTCAAATGCAAGACATTGGTCCTTCCATTGCTAGAGTTATTAGGTTGAGGGGAACAGAAAGTCGTGTGTCTGTGTGTGGATTTCTTATTTAAAATGGGAATACTAATGAGAATAGAGCAACCTACTCTCTCCTACACTTTATTCATGTCCCATCTCCAAGCCCAATGCAGCACTATTGGGCAACAGGGACCAGCAGAGCATGAGGGTTGAACAAGCTCCAAGTCAGGGAGGCTCAGAGAAGGTACAGAGTTTGCTGAAGATCACACATCTGAGCTGGAATCACAGACCTGCACAATGGGATATGGCAGCTATATCCTGGGATGGCAGCCAAACCCACTCTCAGCCCACCACTGAGTCCACCACTTGGAGTAGCTTGTTCCATGAAGACAGGAACAAGCCACTCCAATCCCAGCATCAGTCTCACTTCGGTCAGTGTAGAGTATTTTAAATTACTGTAAAAATGCCTTATGAATGACAAAAGTTTTATCACAATTGCCCCCTGCCCTAAATCACTTCTGGACACTGGTGTTGGGCTCCATGCACTCAGTGGGCCCTGCTGTCTTGCAGATGTGTCACGCAGCCACCAGTGCCTTCTGCCGATCCATTAAGCTACAGTGTGAGCTCTACCCCTCTAGAGAAGTGGCCATCTGCTTGGACCCTTACTGTGGACTTGGGTTTGTTCTGTGGTGCCTCTGCAGGTGAGTTTCCCTTTAATACCTTTAACATAATAAATAAATCATACATGATTTCTTGCGACTGATCCCTGTTTTGATCCTTCTTCTGCCACATTTTTCAGCCAGGCTCTCAGAGTGGAATGGGTTCCGCATTCTGGGGTGTCTTACAAAATTAGTCTCCATGAAGTTTACTGAAACACACAAAGATGGCGGCTGTGTTCTTTTACTCTGAAATCCTAACAGTTACCCCTGTCCTGGAATTTGCATTAAATCAGTGGCTGATGCAGGCACTCTCCTCCTTCAAGCTTCTCCCTGATGCAGGTGTGGGTGTGGGGGGCGGGGAGGACTGCTACTGAGGTAGGGAGGCAGCTGGCCTCGCGTCCAGGGTCCAATGCTCCTCAGCCATCAGCCCTCCAAGCCCAGCTTCTAACAGGTATTTATAGAGAGAGTGAACATGGAGACATATTGTCATCTTTTCAGGATATATATATATATATATATATATATATATATATATATATATATATATTCATTGTAAAAACTTTAGAAAATACAAAGTATAAAGAAGAAAATAAAATCATCAATAATCATACCACCTTGTGATACCAAGAAATATTCACTCTTAGCATTTGGCATATAGCCTTTCAGAGTTTGTTTTCTAATACAGCATAATATTTCTTATTATTAACATACCAAGGTCTGTCCAGAAAAAGTACAGACATTGCTATTATAACAAGAATACTTTGCATGACATTGATGTAACTCACAGCATAGGAGTGGACATGCATAGACAATGACGACTTCACTGTACTAGTCAATGGCGGTGGTAGACTCCATTGAGTGAGCATGTGTACTGTATGGCTATCGTATTCAAAATGATTGAGCAAGTACAGCATCAAATCTGCATCAGATTTTGCATTAAGCTTGAACATTTCTCTGTGAAAACCATTTGAATTATTCAGGAGGCCACATCTGTGGGCAACCACCTGCCCATTCACACATCACGTCTTGTGCAGTTTTTTTGGCAAAACATCCAAAAAAACATCAGATTTAACACCCTCTGACTCTGGCTTTTTCAAAAAATAAAATCACCTTTGAAAGAGAAGAAATTTCATACCATCAGTGAGACTCAGGAAAATACTACAGGGCAGCTGATGGCAATTGAGAGAACTGTGTGAGGTCCCAAGGTGCCTACTTTGAAAGAGACTGAGGAGTCATTGTACTATGTACAATGTTTCTTGTACCTTGTGTCTTCCTCAATAAAAGTTCTACTTTTCATATTACATGGCTGGATACCTTCTGGAAATACCACATATGTAAGTGTGCACAAAGATGCTCCAATAAACACCAGCACCTACCACCCAGTTTCACATGGATCAGCATGTCACCGATTTTGTTTCATCCTTCTTCCCAGTTTTCCCAACCCTTTTTATATGAGACATTTTAAAGCAAACACCTCAACAACACATCATTTCACCCATAAACCTTTAAGTTACATATATAATTTTATAAGTGTACATCAATATATTTATAAACTGAGGTGTTACAGTATGAAACTGGTCATAATTTTCATTTTTTCCTCATAGTCTATAGTAGACATTTTTCTCATGTTTTTAAACATTCTTCTAAAACAATGATCTCAATGCCTTCATAATATTTAATAGTATTAGACTGGATTAAAATACAATTCTTGTATTTTTGAAAAACACTGACATTCTAATTAGTACAATAAAACATTTTGAGAGCGCACATAGAATTGAACCCTAGAGTGTATTTTAATGATTTGTGCCTCCATCTAAAATGCAACAGCATTGTGGGTAGCTTTTTCTTGGGAAATAGTTCAGAATATACCATCCCAACAATAGGGCCAAAGTGACCTTAGCCATATTTGGCCAACTGAGTAGGAAGCCTGTCCCAAACTACTGACCTTTTAGGACAGCTGTCTGTGCTAAGGACAAGCTGCAGCGCCTGAGTAAAGGGCTTCCTGGTTCTGCAGAGTCATCAAGCCTAAGCCCCACTCAGGCAACAGAGAAGGTGCTGTTGAAGGGAAAGTGAGTTTTTAATGTGCATCACCTATAGCAGGAGAGGGATGGGTTGGGGTCTTCAAAGAAACTGTGCAGAGAAGGTTGCAACCAAACTTTACTTAATGAACGTCTTTCCTGAAGATTCATTCAGAAGTCTAGAAATCAGTGTTCTTGATTGACCCTGCAATGTTAAACATAAATGCCTAATAGCTGTGAACGTCTTCATTCTGAAATCCTTTGTAGAAACAGATCCCAATAGACTTGCTTTAAAAACTGAAACTGAATCTGAGAGTAGCTACCCAATAGCAGTGAGAATGCCCACCATCCATAATTGTTGTAATTAGCGTTTTCCTCTCAAACAAGCCAGGGCTACATTAAGAAGAGGCTGATTTCAGGCTGGGATAGGAAATGTATGAGATGACCCTGAATGTCTGTGTGAGAAACAAGGCAGTGCCCACAGAATGAGGAAGGGCATGCCAAAAGGACCAATAAGCCAGCTTACAGGGACTCCCACTGGCCAAACTTCAAGAGCATCCAAATAAAGGTTATAATAGATTATAACACTTTATGAAATGAGAAATTATCCAACCATTCACATATAAGTAGATGACAAATTGAAAGCCCAGTGAGTAACAAGGATTTACATGGTAGCCATCCACCAAATAGTTGTTCATTATAAAGGAGAGGAGAGAACCTTCACAGTGGAGAAGCCTGAACCAAGAGACCAAAGTGAAGCTCATCAACAGTGAGACAAGGGGCCCTTGAGTGTCACTGGGAGGGGTGCAGTGAGGGACACTGCGTCAAAGCTGCTTCACCTCAGTCTAATCATGGGGACATTGGACACTCAAACTGAGGGACACAAAATAGCACAGTGGCCTGTCATCTTCATGAATGCCATTGTCATAGGGTCAGGGAAGCTCTGAAGGCTCCATCTGGACAGAGTTGACAGCTTAAATGCAGGGTGAGACTCTGAACTGGACCCTTCACAGTCAGATATCACTGGGACAACTGGCAGAACCTGAGCAGGGTCTGATGGAACTTGAAAAGAGTTAATGGAAGAAATGTATCAATTAGTGTCCTGATTTTGAGCCCTTAATTGGCTTGTGGAGGAAAATATACTTGTTTGTTGGAAATACTGTGGGGGGCAATTTTGCCTACAAAGTCCCCCCTGTCCACCACGGATGAAAGTGAAACTACCAAGACATGATCTGCTTGGGGAGGAAAGGTGGCCGATCCCTCAAAGGGGAAGGGCCAAGAGCCCCTTCCTCAAGGGGCTTTTATTGGACTCATTTGCATAAGAATAAAGGTAAGGATCAAACAATAGATAGCATTCAAAGAACTATGAGGGCTTATTCTCAGTCAGGGTCAGATAGCTAACAAGCCACAAAACTTTGAGGAACAAACTTCTTGCTTGGACCCTTATCATTTAAATGAGAGCATTCTAAACAAAGCAGGTTTCACAGGATTTTTACATATTCTTTCTTAGGCCTAACACCCCGGATATCGCTCTAGCAAGGCAAGGAGCTGCACTGCCTTCCCTATCATAGGCTTTTAGGCTTAAGTGGATTAGAGCCAGGCAGTGCTTCTCCCAGGTTGAAATGGGGACTGGGCTATGTCACAATAGCCCGGGGCGGGGGCGCGGCGGGGGAGAATCCATTGCTCCCTCTTTGTTGCAGCCCCCTGAGTCCTTCCATGATGGCCTCTCAAGTGATCATGTCTGGCTTAGGTTACCTCTCTCCGTGTGAGAAGTCCTACCCATCATCAACATTGATCATGCTTTGGGGGCAGGGAGAGGAAACTGAGGCAGCATTTGCTACTAGAGACAATCTTTATCTCCTGTGGCTCACATTCCGGAGGTCACTCACTCAGTCTTAGCCATAGGAGGCAGTTACAATTCCTTAAACCAGGAGAGCGGTTCCCAACAAAATACCAGCAAACTTTAGGGACTAAAGTATTTGAGACTGTTGGGACATAAAGTCAGTGACTCACCCTCAAGTGATTCAAGAGAGAAAGTTATATGACTTCTTGGAAATTTCCTTTAACTTTGTGATTGTTTCAGAGTTCTTTTTTTTTTAATTTGATACAAATAGTTTTTTTTTTTTAACATTTTAGTTCTTTATTTTTAGACAGAAGGGAAGGAAGGGAGAAAGAGAGAAACATCAATGTGTAATTGCCTCTCAAGTGCCCCCTACTGGGGACCTGGCCTGCAACCTAGGCATGTGCTCTGACTGGGAATCAAACCGGTGACCCTTTAGTTCACAGGCCGGTGTTCAATTCACTGGGGTATACCAGCCAAGGTTGAATAGTTTTTTTTGTATATCTTTATCCTAAAGTTTCCTTCAGTCATGAAGTAGAAGGTTAATTATCTGAAAACCATTGCCATGATAGAATGGTTTGAAAATATTTAGTAAGATCATACATGTTCTTAAAAGCATGTCAGAGAATTGATATTCCCTGATAAGAAGATTCAATATTGTTAAAATGGAAATTCTCCCCAAATTGGTCTAAAGATTCAGTGTAACCCCTGTCAAAAATCTCAGCAGGATTTGGTTGTTTGGGGCTGTTCAGCTGTTTTTTGTTTGTTTGTTTCTTTTTTATTTTTTTACTTTTGGAGAAAAAGGAAAGGAGGGAGAAAGGTAGAGAGAGAAACATCAATGCAAGAGAGATTCAGTTGCCTCTCCAACACCCCCAACTGGGGACCTGGCCCACAAGCCAGGCACGTGTCCTAGACTGGGAATTGAACCTGTGACCTTTTGGTTCTCAGGCTGGTGCTCTTTTGTTTCAGTTGCTAAAAGTACCAACATGATTCTAAAGTACAAATAAAGGACCCACCACATACCCAAAACAATCTTAGGGTAGAATAATGAAGTTGGAAGACTCAGACTTCCCAATTTCAACACTTACTATTATAACCAAGACAATGTGGTACTAGCATAAAGATATAACGTACATATGGAGGTAGATACATAAAACAATCAGTTAAACAGACTTGAAAGTCCA